TATCTGTAAAAGGCCCTGCGTTCAATCCTCAGTAACAGAAAAACTAAATTAATATTTTTAAAAACAAAATTTATTAGAAAGGTTGGGGGTGCCAGGCTCAGGAGTTCCTGCCTGTGGTCTCAGCAACTTGAGAGGCTGAGGCAAAAGATTTAGCATCTGTTAAATATGTATGTCCTTGCCCAAATCTTACTTTGTAAATTGATCAGATATACTTCAAATAATTTTAAATTAAATATTTATTTATAATCTGCTTCCTGTTAATTTGTCAATATGTGCGGTAGGATTTGTTGCCATTTCAATTTGTTCAGTCTACTTAAGCAGGTGTCCTACAGTGAATAATCCATGATTCTGCTCCAGAGGAGTAATTCTTCAGACCAGTAGGACAGATAATATTTCTGAGTAAATAATTATAATGTGGGGTAATAAATGCTATTATAAAAATATATATAAAGTAATGTGCAAACAGAGGAAAATTTGTTAATTTTTTATAGGGAAAGAATCAGTTAATAGAACTATAAAACAGCGAGTTTCTAACTGTGCTTGAAGGCTGAAAGATTTTGCCAGTAATATAATAATTATATAGTTGACATTGAGTGTTTGCCATGGCCACTTGCCTGAAGGACTTGGATGTTGTATTACCTGCAGTCGTTAAAAATCCTAGAAAATAGTTGATGATATTTAACTGTTTTATGTAACTTTTTAATCAATGGAGAAAGTGAGGAAAGGTAAAAGCTGCAGAATAGATATAAATGGCTTTTTGTGAGTTAACAGAGGAAAACTGTTAGTCAAAGCTTTCGGAAATTCTGAACTAATTTTCCTCCTCCTCATCCTCCTCCCCACCTTTCCCTCCTCCTCCTTCCCCACCCCGCTCCCCCCTTCTTCTTTTAAATCCTGAATGTTCTGATGTGGCTAAAGTTAGTGGTAAGAAAATGGTGCCAAATAATTAATAATGATTCCCAAGTACTATGCAAAAGTGGTCCATATACTTCATTAAAAAAAGTTCAGCTATTCCACAGTGCAATGCATTATAATTTTTATTATACATATGAGCACAGTTTTTCATATCTCTGTATATAAAGTATGTTCGTGCCAATTTATGCCTTTATACATGTACTTCTTTTTTTGCATTACAATTATTAATACACATATATACCACAATTTTTCATATCTCTGCCATTTTTTATTTTGTGACAAGGTCTTTCTAAGTGCTGAGGCTATCCTGGAACATGCTGTTCTCCTGTCTTAGCCTCCTGAGTCACTGGAATTTTAGGTGTGTGAGCCCAAGTGACCTTCTCAATTTTTCATGATAAAAATTTGTTTATCAGTTCAGATAAACAAAGAATGGAAAACACTGTATACCCAACATTTTGATATACTAGTTTTCAATGATTTGCCCAAATTTTCTTTTGTTTAAAAAATAGGTGGTACTTCTTATCACTTTCCTTCTCATTCCTCCTTATTCCATTTTCAGGAGTAACTACAACCCTGTGACTCATTTCCTGTCATTTGTGTTTTGCACATATGTATATGGTCACTTTAATAGATAGCATTGGTTTGAGTGTTTCATAACTTTTCTAAAAAATGTATTTTACTGGCTGGGCGCTGTGGCTCATACCTGTAATCTCAGTGACTTGGTAAGCTCTGGCCAGAGATCTCAAGTCCAAGCCCAGCATCTGCAATTTAGCAAGACCCTGTCTCAAAATACAAAAAATAAAAATAATTGAGGATGTTGCTTTGCCCCTTCAATTCCCAGTAGCCCCTCCACAAAATCCTGCTGTTCCTAGTCTTTTACAACTTGTTACTCATTCTGTTTTTGACATTTATGTGTGTTAATCCATATACATTCTTTTTTTCCATTTTATTTATCATAAAGTGGTTATTTGTCCTTTTCCCCATTTGAGCTGTATTAGAATTTTTCTTGTTTTTTATTTCTACAGCAGTACTGCAGTAAATATTCATGTATATATTTCTGGGTAGTTGTCTGTAGTTGTACTCTCTAGAAATAGAATTTCTTAGTGATGGAGTACATTTCTTTAAGCTTAAAACAGATAATTCTAAATTGCTCTGTTAAGTGTTTGTGCTAATTTACATGTAAGTTTTTAAGATTTTAGTTTGGAACTACTCTATTGTTTTTTCTCATGTCTAATTGCAAAATACGAGCATTATAAAATAACTAAAACTTTATTATGGATTAGTTACCCCTTTATCACACAAAAGATGACAAGTGTAAAATATAAGAAGTAGATACATAGATTTTTGTGAGCATGGGAAACAAGGATAGTAAGAAACAAAAGTGAAAGTTAAAATATCAGAAAGAAATGCATAAAAAAAAGAAAGAAATGCATTTGACTTTAAAATTTTTTTCTTATAATGAAAAGTGGTGAGTCTAGTCTGAATTGGGAGCTCCACGAAGTCAAGAACTTTAATTAGTCTGTTTCTGTTTTTTTCTTGTGGCTTTGATTGCTCCTGAAGGTATGATGTCCAGAGTCTAGACACAAAGAAAATTAAATTAGGGCAACAATGCAATTCAACTGAATCCTCTTATTCGTGACATCTTCATGCATCTCATTGATCATTACTATATCATACGACCCATTGCTATAAGGTGCTTGATCAAGGAGGCTTCCTAAACAAAGTCAGAGTTGTGTTAGTACAAAAGATGAGATTAAATATTGAGTAGCAACTATCGATGTCCTCTACTGTTAATTTACATGGAATATGCAGTGTTTGATTTCTCACCCTGCTATACTGGGTGAGAAGTCTCATAATAGATAATAAATAAACATTTGTTGAGTAAATGAATGGACCAGCTTTGAAAAACCTGCATTAGATACCAATTTTCTTGAATCATCTTAAGTTTATTGAGAAATGTTGCTGCTGCATTGTGATTTTTGAAGTGATTTTTTTCCTTTAGTTTTGTTGCCTCAAATTTCATGCCTCTTAAACTCATTTACAATTTCCTTTTGACTACCCTTGGGGAAATGTTTGTATAATTGAATGACCTTTTTGCCAGTTACTATTGCTTTCAAAAGTTCATATTCTGTCAGGATCCTTCTGTTCTGTATACATATCCATGTAATGTAGGGGAGCTATAATAATAATTATAAAATTTTTCTTTTAAAAGGACTTAACCATATCCTAAATTTTCAGTGATTTAACATTTTTGGAATTACAGAAATACAACACTTTTGAAGAATACTAGGGGAGATTATTTAGTTCAGCTGCTTTATTAGTAGATTAAGTAACAAGGGTAGAAAGTTGTGTTGGTACAAAAGATGTGTTAGTACAAATATATACAAGTATAACATACCACTATCTGAATTAGGTTTGGTAAACCCAAGAGTTTTCAATCTAATTTTATCTCTCATTTCATTCTGCCATTCTGTTACTCAAATTAAAATCAGTTGACTCCAAATAAAAACATGTTATCTTACCTTGATTCAGAATCACAGTGAGGTTCTATCATGCTGCCTGAACCACAAGTATATAGAAGAAATATTCAGTTGTGTTCAGTATTAACAATATTTGGTTGAAATTAATTTAAAAGATAGTAATTTGGGTTTATCTGTTAAAATATTTAATTAGTTTTGCTAATATACTTACCAAGCTTAATAAGTGAGAAAGGGATGGGAAGACATGAATCATCACTATTGTCTCACCTTAAAGCACTAATGGTATAAAGAAGGAAGAATAATACTAATAGTTAATCTTCCTTTTATTAATTTTTAAATTTGTTTTAATTAGTTATACATGATGGTAGAATGCATCTGTGCACTTTGTGATACTTTAATCTTGAGGTCCAAAGAGTCCTAAATGGTTTTTGAGTATTTTATTTGAAACATGATTAGATATTTTTTAAGAAGTTTGTAGTAAAAATATTCACTTTAGTTAAAAATAGAATTCTCATTTTTAAAAAATGCACTGTTTCATCTCCCCACTTTTTATCTACTCCACGTATATCCTTCTGAATTGTTACTCTTTGCTTATTGAAAAAAATCTTCAAGTTTTTAAGTTTATATCTCAGTAAAACTTCATTTAGAATTAAAGTTTTTCCATTCCAAGGATAAGGTGAAAGGATGGAAAATGTACTAAAATTAGTAGTAATTTATTTGGAAAATACAGTGCAATCTCTGTGATTACCCATGAGATTTATGCGTTTTACTTGATTTTAGCTTTTGTTATGTTTAAATATGTACTATTAGGTACTTTGTTAAGGCTGAAAATACATAGTCAACAAGGTAAAAAGAGGCAATGAAATATAAGCATTAATAGTTTCTTTGTAAAATATTAACTTAAATGATCAATAAAGCCATTTCGTAAAGTGAACTGTAGCATAACCACATCAAGGCATGTTATATAGTCATGAATATTGATTTTTGAAAAGGTCACATAACATAAAAAAGTGCTAATGTTTCTATAAAAAAAAAATCGAAAGCAGAGTGACCCCAATTTTGTGAAACCATAATGACCAGAAGTAGCCTAAAATATTATTAGCAGTTCCCTTTGAGCATTCTTTTTTTTTCTTTTTCATTTTTCCTCTGCTCATGTTACTTCACTGAAATAAAGTCCTCAGTGACTTGCAAAGAAGAATATTGTCAGTTTATGAAACAAATATGGCCTTTTGGCAATGTTTTATGTAGCATTTTAAAAATGACCAGCAAGCCAAGATTCATATTTTTGAGCCATCCCTTAAGTTTGACTAAATTATTTGAGCTGTATAAATATTTACATTCCATTGAGAACACTGGAACTAAAAGTAAAAAGCAGTAACATGAGTCTGTCTAAATAGCAATTTTTTAATATCTGGAAGTTGTGCTTCACAATTTTGTCATTTTCTTAATTGTCAGATTTTTTGGGCAGGGAGGGTCAAATACCCAATCACAAAGTTATGCTACCCCTGCGAAGAGAGAAACAATAAATAGAAATAAATTAAGTCTGTTATATATTATAATCTTGAAAGCTCTGTTCACTTAAACTTTTTCTGATTTTTATTTTTTTAGAGGAACAAAAGGAAAATGAAAAGACAAAAGGTGAAGCTCGGCTAGTAGATTCAGTAAATTGTTCTACAGCCAGTGTTCTAGAAGAGACTACTATGAAAATTGAAAAAGAAGATCAAAAGGAACTTGTGAAACTGCCAGTAATAGTGAAGGTAGAAAAAACTTTGCCAGAAATCGAGGAAAAAAAGATTGTCAAAGAAGAAAATGATTCTTTCAAAGAAAATGTCAAACCCATTAAAGTTGAAGTGAAGGAATGCAGAGCAGATCCCAAAGATGTCAAAGGTAGCATGGAGAAACTGGTGGTACAGGAACCAGAGAGGCTAGAGTTTAGTGGCAATATCAGATCTTCTCAAGAAATTACAGAGAAATCTACTGAAGAAACTGAGAAACTTAAAAATGACCAGCAAGCCAAGATTCCACTAAAAAAACGAGAAATTAAACTGAGTGATGATTTTGACAGTCCAGTCAAAGGACCTTTATGTAAATCAGTTACTCCAACAAAAGAGTTTTTAAAAGATGAAGTAAAACAAGAGGAAGAGACTTGTAAAAGGATCTCTACCATTACTACTTTGAGTCATGAAGGGAGACTAATGGTAAATGGAGAAGTTGGTGATGAAAAGGTAACTCCAACTTTGAAGACAGAACAAATAGAGACAAAGTTTTATGATACAAAGGAAGATGTCTACAATAGCCCTTCTAAGGACAGAAGTGTCATCATGGAGGGGAATGGAGCAGAATGCTTAAATTCTGTCATAACGAGTTTAAAAATAAGTGAGCTTGAGAAAGAAGTTCTTTTAGGAAAGGTTGTAGATAGTTCAGTCTCAGTCTTAGAGACCCACAGTCAAAAAGGGCAGTTAGAGGAACCTGGTCCTCCAGAAATGGAAACTTCTCTTGAGTCTTCTGAGATAGTAAAGGATCTCTCTTTAAAAACTGCTTTATCTGTCACTGAATCCTGTACCATGAAATTTGAAGAGAAGTCCCCCAAAAGTAAGAAGGATAAGAGTCCACCAATCCTAGAATGTCTTGAAAAATTAGAGAAGTCCAAAAAGACTTTTCTTGATAAAGACTCACAAAGATTGAGTCCCATACCAGAAGAAGTTCCAAAGAGTACTCTAGGATCAGAACCACCAAGTCCTCCTGATGCATCTGAAACTTTCCCACCAACTAAAATAACTAGGCATTGTGAAAAACCAGACTTAGAAAAAGAAGGAGTAGAGTGTCAGAGTACAAGTTCTTTTGAAGGTCAGTTCCTGGAAAAAGTAGACCCAGAAATTCTTAAAAGGGATTCTGAGTCCAAGAAAGTAGAAATGGATAATCTAGACAATGAGGATCCTTCTGAAACAAAGGGTTCTGTGCAAAAAAGCAAATTTAAATATAAGTTGGTTCCTGAAGAAGAAACAACTGCCTCAGAAAATACAGAGATAACCTCTGAAAGGCAGAAAGAAGGCATCAAATTAACAATTAGGATATCTAGTCGGAAGAAGAAGCCAGATTGTCCTGCCCAAATTCCAGAACCAGAAAGCAAGCAAGAGAAGACAGAAAAAGAAGAAGAGAAAACAAATGTGGGCCCTACTTTAAGGAGGTCTCCAAGAATATCTAGACCTACAGCAAAAGTGGCTGAGATCAGAGATCAGAAAGCTGATAAAAAAAGAGGGGAAGGAGAAGATGAAGTGGAAGAAGAGTCAGCAGCCTTGCAAAAAACAGACAAAAAAGAAAGTTTGAAAAAACTGGAGAAGGATACAAACTCTAAAGGAGGCAAGGTAAAACAACTCTGAATTTTAAATTTTAATTAGAAATATTTAAATCTGAGTGTTTATAGCTTTTTTGCTTTAGGCTAAAGCATAGTCATTCTTATCTTTTAAACATTTTTTTCCTATTACAGGCAGTATTAGAAACATTCTTGTTGTAAATTATTCAAGTAATACACAATCTGTGGGGCTGGGGATGTGGCTCAAGCAGTAACGTGCTTGCCTGGCATGCGCGGGGCTCTGGGTTCGATCCTCAGCACCACATAAAAATAAAATAAAGATGTTGTGTCCACTGAAAACTGAAAAAATAAATATTAAAAAAATTCTCTCTCTCTATTTCTCTCTCTCTCTAAAAAAAAAAAATACACAACCTGTAGGATTATAAAATGAAATTTCCCATAACCAGTTTTACAGATTGGCGTGCATACTGTTTCAATCTGTTTTTCATGCATTCATATATATGTTTATAAACATTTTACCTATCATTTACAAAATAAATCCAGTCCTATGTGTTCACTTTTTTGTGAGTGCTTTACTTAACAGTGTATCTATTTTTCCATGTCAGGAGATCAGTCTACTTGTGTTTATTAATGGCCACATAGTATTTTCATATTGTGGATATACCTCAGTTCTTTTAACCACTCCCTTATTAATTGACATTAGGTTGTTTCCAATTTTTCACTATTACAGGCAATGCTGCATTGAAGATCCATTTGGACATGAGTGAGTATTTCTTTAGAATAGACTCCTAGAATTGGAATTGCTGGGTCAAGGGGCATGCCACATTGCCTCCAAAAAGGCCCTAGTAATATTATCATTTCCTTACCAGTATCTGAGAGTGCCTGTTTCCACCATTTAAATCATTAGTCTTGGAAGCCAGAATTCTTTTTTTCTGTAACCACCTCATTTTAAGTAAAATATACAAATCTTTGACTAGTATTATCGGTTAAATAAATTAAAAACAAGAGTTGTTTTTAATTTATTTAAAGGATAAGGTTATTCTTCGTTGCAGGTGAACCTTTGTTCCCTGAAATACTGAGTTTTTAATTCTATACTTTGAAAAACGTTTTCTGATAAAAATTATTTAGCTCTTTGCTGGAGACCTGTAGTATGAGAATGAAATGAAATATGCATTAAAAGATAAAATTGGGGCTGGGGTTGTGGCTCAGCGGTAGAGCACTTGCCTAGCATGTGCAAGGCCCTGGGTTCAATCCTCAGCACACATAAAAATAAATAAATAAAATAAAGGTATTGTTTCCAACTATAACTAAAAAATAAATATTTAAAAAAGATTATAAAATTAGGCAATAAAAAATTGTTAACAATGTTGGAAATGTATTCTCTGAATAATATTCTTTTAAAATTTGTCAGCATTTTTTATGCAAGTCTGACCCTCTTGAAATTTTTAGGTTCATCTTTAATATTATTAAAGCTTTACATTTTTTGCATAATAATAAGTAAGTATATAGTCATCCTTCTGTTATTGATAGAACTTTTAAAATGTACATGGCCTTTGACCCAGAATCCGCTTCGAGGAATTTATCCTAACCATCACAATGTGTGTTAAAATTTATATTTCAACGGATACATTATTCATGAAAGTGAAAAAATGGGAAACAACTACCTAAATGTCCATAGGTGATATATACACCCAGGTGATAGCATATAGATGCAGCCATGTGATAACGTATTATATAGTCACTAATAGTAAGGAGAACATACAGTGATCAGAAATTAAGTATATGACATAAAAACTATATGACATTATAATCCCATGTAAAACTCTCCCCAAACCAGAAAATAGTAGTGAATATATACACCAAAATTTAATAGTAGGTATATCCAGGTGATCAGACTATAATTTTTATTTTTTTCTTCATGTATTCCACATGGGACATGCAATCAGGAGGAGCTTAGTTTTTTTTTTTTCTTATATCAAATTATGTCAATTTTTTATTTTGCCCAAGGTAAAACCCAAAGGCAAAGTTCGGTGGACTGGTTCTCGAACACGAGGCAGGTGGAAATATTCCAGTAATGATGAAAGTGATGGGTCTGACAGTGAAAAATCATCTGCAGCTTCAGAAGAGGAAGAAGAAAAGGAAAGTGAAGAAGCCATCATAGCAGATGATGATGAACCATGCAAAAAATGTGGCCTTCCTAATCATCCTGAACTAGTATGTACCTGATCTAAATGAACAATGTTCATAGTCATAGGAAGCTGTGGTTGCCTGGAGCAGCCTGACTCATCTGGGTTTGATCATGAAATTTTTTCATTCTACAAAGTATGTATTCTAGAAAGTAACCTCTATTTCTGTTTCTCAACTAATAATGCCAGTTTGAGAAGGCCAAGGATAAAGGTTTTGTTTTTATTGTAGCTAGTTTATATGTAGACATTTTCTGTACCTAATAAGTATACACCTTGTTCTCTTCTCACAAATCAATTAATTTATTCACCTAATTCTATTCAGTTCCTTTAAGTTTTTTTAAAAATATATTTCTGAAGTGCCATCAAGTAAGTTCAACCTATGAAGGCCTTATTGCCTTCCTCTAAAAGCATAAAAAGTAGTAACCCAATGGGCTTTAAAATTTTCAATATTGGAAGTTGCATATAGTCTAGATATGTTTGGAAAAACATTATCAAAACTATGTGGCGCTTTCTTACCCAAGAAGTAAACTCTTCAAGGGTGGCCTACATCAGGAGAACCACTTCTTAGTCAATATACATTATATTGCAGTTCATAAGGAATTTGTTGAAGAAACACTCTGATTATGCCCAATTGTATGCAGTTCTGCTCTTCTTTTGAGTAGATTTGACTTTAACAACTTTCAACTATTAAGTAGAGATAAACATAAAGAATGATCCTCTTATATGTGTTGAATGTGTTGAGCAGAAACATCTCAAGATTTTCTGATGTTTCAAAACATAAGAGATGGTTCTCTAGGTTCTTTTTTTCTAAAAAGCAGTGTGATATAATAAAAAAAAGCAAGGGGTCAGAAAGACGTGGATATAGGTCATGCTTCTGCCACTTATCAGTGTTTTCTTCTCTGTATCTTGATGTCTTTATTATAAAATGGGACTTCTACTGCATGTTTCTGAAGGGTATTTTAAAAACTCAGGTGCTATGGCACATGCCTGGGTGCTGGCTGCTATGGCACATGCCTGTAATCCCAGTGACTTGGGAGACTCAAGGCAGGAGAATTGCAAGTTTAAGGGTAGCCTCAGCAAGTTAGCAAGGTCTAAGCAACTTAGTAAGACTGTTGCAAAATAAAAAGGATGGGGGATGTGGGGCTGGGATTAAGGCTCAGCGGTAGAACTTTTGCCTAGCATGCGTGAAGCACTGGGTTTGATCCCCGGCACCACATAAAAATAAATAAATAAAATAAAGATATTGTGTCCACTACAACTAATAAAAAAAAATTTTTTTTAAAACAAAAAGGGTAGGGGATGTAGCTCAGTGGTAAAGCACTCCTGTGTTAAATTTCCAGTATGGGGGGGAAAAATGGTGGGAGGAAGAAAAAGAAAACAAAAAAGATTGCCTGGTAGAGTTCCTGATAGATATGTACTAGGTTTAAGATCTACAGGGAGACCAGGCTGCTCCATCAAAGGATTAAGGATAGAGGAATACAGCTTTTATGGCATCCATATGGTAGGCAGAGTCCTGGGCTCTTGATGTCATCATTGTAGAGGTAGAGTTTTGGGTGTGCATTTTTGCTATTCTTCATCATGTTTCTTCACATGGCACATATCTCATTACCATCTTTGGTCTCTACCTAGGGGAGTGTATTCTATGATAACAAGATAAAGGCAACTGTAGGTTACTTAAGTGACTATTCTATGCATGCATTTGCCCCTTTTCTTGTTAGAAAGTCTCTCCTATTTTCACAGTGGGGCAGATAATGAGGCCAACTATTTTCCTATCTCAGTGGCCTTACCTTAGTGATTTTGCTTTTTCTGGCTCTAGCTTCTTGGTGCTTCTACTGAACACATTTTTTTAAAAGGCTGAGCTGACTTCTTGGCCTTGCATCTCCTGGTTTGTTATCGTATTTCTCTAAGCCTTGAAGATTGGTTCACTTTTTAACTTCTAATTTTCTGGTTAGGCTGTTAACTCCATTGAGATTAAGGGCTAGATTATCTGTCTTACTTCCCCAGAGAGATTTTAATCCCTTAAATCCTAAGGAGTCCTATTTCATGAGAATCTCTAATTGTCTCAGAGTTGCCCTCTTCTTGGAGCACACATAGGATTTATATTTATTTGGCTATTTTCATGACTATGTGGAAAATCCCATTGCTGTTTACTGTGCCAAAGAGAATGACTTTAGAAACTGAAGATCCCTAGTATGATGGATTTCTTATGTCATGGATTTCTTATGCTTAAGGGTAACCCTCAAATCAAAATAATAAGCAGTTAGTATACATTAAATGGTACAGATATGATGCTGAGCTAAAAATACATTATTCTTGTCCTCATTGCACTTATAACATAAAAGAAATAAATTGTTAAGTAAATGTAGAACCCTGGAATTTTATAGCTGCCTTAGTCAAAATAAATGCATCATTGTATGAGGCCTGGGAATCTTACCTGGTTGTCTTTATTTAGGAGGATTTTACCTTTATTAAGGAGTAGAGATAGAACTCAACTGATTTCTGAAATGGAGACTAAGTGTTTATTTGTAATTTTATTATTTGAAATTTAGATTATATTTTACCATAGAAACAATGTGATAATGGGGCTAGGTATATGGCTCAGTTGGTAGAGTGCTTGCCTCATATGCACAAGGCCCTGGGTTCAATCCCCAGCACCACCAAAACACACACACACACACACACACACACACACACACACACACACACACACAATGTGACAAATGGAATTGGGTGCCTGGGTTAGTCTACATATGCCTATGTAATCAATTAAATAAGAATGAGTATATATATGATTATATAACCGAGATATAATACCAAAATTACTGAAGACTGAATCTTGGTCATCAGCATCAATTGGTAATACATTGTATGGAGAGGGTGGAAGGTATTTTTCCACTTTCAACCTTCCTTCCCCCTGTAAAACTATGCATTATAGTTTCAGAAACTTACATGCATGCAAGGTTTGAGCAAGTAAGTAAAAGTGTACCTAATAGGAACCTAGTCACTTTTAGCAAGACCAGAGGTAGAATCAGTTCTGTAATGCTGGATTAGAGCTAGGGATATTAGTATGAACTCATTCTTATTTTAATATAGATGAAGGAATATAGATGTATCTGTATACATGCATATGTATGCGTGTATGAGTGCACGTGTGACTATTCTGTGCATGCATTTGCCCCTTTTCATGTGAGAAAGTCTTCTATTTTCACAGTGGGGCAGACAATGGGGCCGACTATTATATTGGCACTATTATATTTTACTGTATGCACATATATATACATAGATATGTTTGTTTATTTGTTGCTCTGACCTCTAAAAGAGCTTTGCATTAGTGATGTCCAGTAACAAGGAGGACTACCCGAACCCTGCTTTCCGAATTCCATTTTACAATAAAGGAACAGTCCAATGTGAAAGAGCTTCCATTATGTCCATTGCTGAACAATTATAACAACAAATTAAATGATGACAGCTTTGGATTACAACCTAAATAATAATAAGTATTCATTAGTTCATATTGATATAAATAAATCATTGAATAAACAAATGAGTGTGGGTAAAGAGACATTTTTTCTTTACAGAACAATTCCACTAGTGGGCAAAAATTTAAGTGGAAAATAAGATATTTGCACAGCTTTATCATGTCTTCCTCCAGAATATTTATTAATTACTATAATGATTTTTAATTCATATCCACAGATTGTTTGATACTGGAAAACTTATTTCCCTCCCCTTGAGTATGAGCTCCATTTATCTTGAGTATAGTTTATGAAAAGTGAAAAGTAGGGGCTGGGGCTTAGTGGCAAAGCACTTGTATAGCATGTGTGAGGCACTGGGTTGAATCCTCAGCACCATATAGAAATTAATAAAATAAAGGCACATCAACATCTAAAAAATATGTATTAAAGAAAAAAGTGAAAAGTAATAGCTTTACAGTAGAGGAAACCAATAGACGCAACTAAAACTAAGTGATCAATGTTAATATCACCAATAATAAATCATATTGTTTTCATGGACTATGTAATAGGATATACCTCTGTGGCATTCTTGAAAACCCATAACCCCAGTCTGATCATTAGAAAATATTAAACAAACACAAATTCAGGGACAATCTACAGATTATTTGAATTCGTATCTTTCAAAACTGTCAAAGTCATGGAAAAGAAAGGCTGAGTAACTGTTGCACATCAGGAGAGTAAGAAGACAATGTAGAATCCTGGATTCAGAATCAGAAAAATCTGGTGAATCTGGTATTGTAGTGGTGTTAATTTTTTAGTTTTGGTTGATATCCCATAGTTAGGTAAAACTTTAAACCTTGATGAAGATATTTGGGAAAACTAATATCTTGGTAACTCTTCCATAAATCTAAAGTTATTTATAAAGTTAAATATTCATGAGTGTACCATGTTAAGTTTAGAGAGTTGATCATCTATATTTAAAAAGCAAAAAAATATCAGCTGTAAGACTAATTATTATTAGCCTTTGTATTTAAACATTATGGATCTAAATATTCCTGTCCTTTGTTTATTTGAATTTACATGAAAAAAGAAACCATGAGTTTGTTGCGTATATGTAATTGAGATGCATTTAAAATGGAAACCTTTTGTTCTATATGTTTTAACAGTAGTTTATGATACCTGAGCTTTAAAACTTTATTATAAGGAATGTTATCATTGCCCTTATGCAATGATAAATCACTTTAAAATGATTGTAACTCTAGTTCAGAAAGGACTTGTTATTTTTCACTAAATTTTGTACTAAACCTTTTTGGTTTTTTTTAGTGTTTCGGGGGAGGTGTTTTAAGTTTTTTAAAAAAGTGGCATCATCCCTAATTGTCAGATACCCAATTTTCAGACTCTTACTAATTATAAGATTTTTTTATTCATTAGATTTATGCAAATAAAGAGCACTTTGTAATAAGTACTAATAAATATTGAATTGTCATTATCTTAAGAGTCATTGAATTTAGTCAGTTAGGTTGACATTAATATGGTTTATTTCAGATTCTTCTGTGTGATTCTTGTGACAGTGGATACCACACGGCCTGCCTCCGCCCTCCTTTGATGATCATCCCTGATGGAGAATGGTTCTGCCCCCCTTGCCAACATGTATGACCCAGCCCATCTCCATATCTCCAGCCCTTGGCTTTATGTTTCAAATTAGTGATATTTTTTAACTGCCACTGAACATCTTCCATTTTCAGAGACATTTATACTTGTTGTTTACTTCTTATTTAGATGCCTACCTTTTTTTTTTCAAATATTTATTTAGTTGTAGATGAACACACGATATCTTTATTTATTTTTATGTGGTGTTGAGGATCAAACCCAGTGCCTCACACATTCGAGGCAAGCACTTTACCACTGAGCTACAGCCCCAGTCCCAAGATGCCTACCTTTTATTAATATCTTTTAGGTCTTCCTTTTACTCTTTTCCAATGCCATTCTCAGAAGCCCACCAATTTTTTATAAATTTATCATTTTTTTTTCCTACATTTGTTATAATCACAGAGAATACCAAATTTAGATTTAGGGAGGAAATAAGTTTCTTTCTATAGTTTATTCCTTATCTTTCATCCTTGTTTTCTAGTCCTGCCTACCTTGTTTTTGTCAATAGTTTTATAGATTAAATTATCAGAATTGGGAAAAACAGATTTTCTTTTTCTTTGACCTTGATTTAGGTGATTTTTTTTTTTTTAACTGAAGAACAGGATATTTCTGTGCCATTGAACCAATTGTGTATTTTGCCTTATAAACCCAGTCTCTTGCTTTTGAAATGATGGGCTTTATGCATTTCTCAGTGAAGTGGATTTCTTTGCCTTAGTGTAGCTTTATCATTTACATTTTCCATGATCTGTTTTGACTTAGCAACCATGTAACATTGTTTCACTTTTTTCCCAATTCTTTTTTAAAAAATTGTTATTGGCACTATTATATTTTACTGTATATATAGTCTCCCTAAAAATGTCTTATGATCTTTTTCTTTTAATTATAATCATTGTTTTACATAGTTTTGAACCAAATGATATTGTAAATATTGGTTACTTTTACCAGGGTAGGCATAGAATGTATTTTCTTGGCAAAGCTAGATGTTTTTGTATTGTGAGCTTCACATCAAAATACTACGCTTATCTTAATTCCAGTGGATGCTGAAGCACCTGTTTAATAAACACAAGGAAAGCTTCAGTATTCCTTAACTATGTGGCCTTTAATCAGTTCTTAATACACAATACCCATGAGTTTAACATGATATGGCAAATGATTGTGGAAAGATGTTAAAAGTGGCAATTATTGGGCTAGGGATGTAATTCAGTGATAGAGCTCTTACTTGGCATGTGTGAGGCCCTGGGTTTAATCCTCAGTACTGGGAGAAAAGGAATGTGAAAAATGACAGAGTCAGTTGAGGTGGCTCATGCCTGTAATCCCAGCTGTTTAGGAGGTTGGGGCAGGAGTTCATAAATTTGAGTCCAGCCTGGGCAAGTTAATTATTTTTTTATTTTTTATTTTTATGAGGTGTTGAGAATTGAACCCAGTGCTTTTTCACACGTGCTAGGCAAGCTCTTTACCACTGAGCCACAACCTCAGCCCAGAAGTTTGTTATTTAAAAAAAAAAAAATTGTTTTTTGTTTTCTTTAAGAGGATGGGGTTGTAGCTCAGTGGTAAAGTACTTGCCTAGCATTCATAAGGCCCTGCATTCAATCCCAAGAAGAAAAATATGTATATTTTGCTCTTTCAGAAACTGTTATGTGAAAAATTAGAGGAACAGTTGCAAGATTTGGATGTTGCCTTAAAGAAGAAGGAGCGTGCTGAACGAAGGTATTTCGATAAATGCATTAATGTTTCTCTTGGGTATTTGACAACTGAATTGTCTTATAGTATAGATGAATGCATCTATCTAGAGCAGAGATTGGCAAACTGTGACCTGTGGGTCAAATCTGTCCTGCTCCTTGTTTTGGTGTTACCTATCAAGAATGATTTTTATGTTTTTAGATGGTTGAGAAAAAATTAAAAATTAAATCATATTTATGACACATGAAAATTAAATGACATTCACATTTCTTTGTCCACAACTAAAGTTTGTCTGTATCCGCTTTTGCTCTACAAAAGCAGTTATAAATTGCAGTAAAGATCTAATGACTCTCCACCTTTGAAACGTGTTGTCTGTCATTTCATAGAAAAGTTTGCCAATCCCTTATCTAGAGTATGTCTCAGAACCCACCATGAATAAATATTAGCCCAAGTATTATAGTGAACATAAGAAAATTACAAGAACTGCCCTATCACTTAGTTACTCATGTGCATCTCTTTGGGTGGGCAAGTAACACTTAATTAACAATGCCAAATAATTAACATTTAATGGTTGAACCATGTACTGAATATAAAAGAGATGACTCCATTTTCATTATGCCACTACACTGAGGTCCAAAGCAGTGAAAGAAAGTTTCTTGGAGGAAGTAAGACTTAACATGATCTAATATTTAAAAGACTGTTTAGAATCAAAAGAGTAGGTATATAATTCATTTGCACCTATTGTGTACCAAACTGAAGAGAAAAGGTAAGTAAGACAGCTCTTGTTTACATGGAACTCAAATCATATCAGAAAATACAGATGTATGAATCATTAAATAAATAATGTATAAATACACTAAAATAAAAAAATCAAGATATATTCAAAATAATATAAGAACATTGTGGAGGAGCAATTTAGTAATCTTAGGAGTTGGAGTTATCAGGGAAAGCCTTGGAAGATAAATTGGGATTATATAGTTGAACACGTAAAGAAGAGGTATTCCAAAGCCGTGAGTACAAAACATGAGTAAAGACAAAGTAGAAGTCAGGGTAGGAGAGTGGTAGGGGAGATATACCTCTTAAAGCAGAGTAAGTCTAAATTGCAAACAGCCTTACATTCCTGGGTAGGGACTTTGAAGTATTCTTTATAGACAGTGGGGGAACCATCAAAGATGGTATGTGGTTATTTATTTCAGAAAATGCTCTGGTAGGACAGCACTGGCAGAGTGGCAGGCCAGGGCCCAGGACCTACCTCCTGCCCCTGGATGCGCTGCCTCACTGGCTGGCCTACACCATGCTCCACCTTGGACACTGCTTGTCCTTTTACTGGGGTGTACAGGGTTTGGGAGTGGGCCCCAGGTCAGCCTGATTTACAGTTCTGCTAAAAATTGCTTGGTTCCCGCAGCATTAGCGCCTGTGTTTGAGGCGACATTAGCAAGAAGTTGGGACTTTTAGAGTAATGCATTAGAAAAGTCTTTTATTTATCTTTTTTTAACTTAAAAAAAATATTTATTTGGGCTCATGGTTCTGGAGACCTAAAGTTGAGAAGAAATATCTGGAGTCAATCATTCTGTAGTAAGAATGGCCTTCTTGCTGGCAGAGTCCTGAGGTGGTGTAGGGCTTTGCATAGCAAGAGACAGAGAGCACATATGTCCTTTGAAAATGTTGTGGTGTGCCTGACATTCTGCTGCCCGAGGTGTGGAGACCATACCATATTCAGAAGTTTGTTGTCCTTGAGGGCCCATCTGGAATTTAGTCACAGTTAGGAAGAAATACCACTTCTGACAAAATGCAACTTCTTACCATGGAACTACTACTCACTTCCTCCAAACTCCTGAAACAGGGAAAATTGAAGAGCCACGGCAATTGATAAAGCAGAAACCAAGCTATGTTAACTTATACAGCATTTCACATGAATACTCGAAGGATTGAAAGCTATTTGAGGTGGTGGCAGGGAGGCCAGTGTCAAACATGAAGACCTGTGCTGCTGTGGATAGGTGCAGACTCACTGGATGGGCCACAGTCGAGTCCTGGACTTCTCACCTCAGACACAAAAGCCTCTTTTGAGGCACATGTCAGAAAAAAATTCAATTGAGTCACTGAGGCTGTGGATAGGAGAAAGAGCAAGCAAGAAAGAAAGAGAATCGATAAACTCACCAAAGAGTTGGCCCAGAAAACTGCTGAACTTTTGTAAGTCCATGCAGCAGATTCAGAAAAAGCAGTAAGTTCAGAGATGGGAGAGGGCCCTGAACAGACAAGTGGATGTGGCCATGGTCACTGCACTGAGGCATCGCCTGACAGAAGCAGAGGAGGAGCTTCTTAGGAAGGAAGAAGAAGCAGCAGCTGAAAAGGAGGTTCAAGGGAAAGCTCAGCTCCAGGACTTTACTTAAGAATCTGTTGCAGTGGGTAGAACTAGTGGGAAATCAGAGTACGACCAAAGCCAGTCCTCAGGCCAAAGCTGTGTCATCAGTGAGCATACGCTTACAGATCTCTCTTCAAATAAGAAATCCTAATGCCTAACCCAAGGGTACCCACATTCTGTGTGTAGCCACCCCGATCTCAAAACCCATTTCCATCAAGGACGATAGGACCAGCATGTAGATTGCCCAAGAAAGGGGAGTTTCTGAGGCTTAGCCAGAAAAACAACATCAAGCCCCAAATGGCTTTAAAAAAAAAAAAACCAACAATGATAGTGAACATCATCTAAAAGGGGGGTGGCTCAGGACCATCATCTCTTGCCTTTGGGGAATGTTGTTTCAGGGACCAGTGATACTGTCCTTTTGGGCACATCACACAGTAAGACATTGGAAAAGCAAAGATCGTGATGCACATAAGCAACTAAATTAACCAGAATTTAACAAAGGGGAATCTCAGCCAAAATTTTATTATAACATCCTCTTAAAAGCAATAAAAAATTACAAAAAGAACACTGAGAAGGAACAACCTTATCTTAAAGTTTTAGTAAAACAAAGCTCCAGCTGCTGAAATAATTGACCCAGTCTTCAGTAGTCCTGGCACCTGGACCCCTTGTGCATTGGTCATTAATACTCAGGCCTGGGGCCTCATAAGATGTCAGACACTAGAAGAAATTTCATCTGTGCCCACTGCCTTCTAAAATGTGAGGCAAGGAATGAAAAAGTTCTGTTAATAGCAGTGAATTAAAGATTTTTTTGTTTGTATCTAACCTTCTCAATTAATTTGAAAGCAAACAAAGTAAGATTTCTGTTTCTCTGGAGTTTTCTACTGGTCAAGATTTTACTCTTTAGGTTGCATAAGGGACTTGTTCAGTCAGATTTCAGTTTTCATTTGACAGATTGCTTTTCAGTTTGTTAGTTTGATTCAGGTTTTTTATGTCCATAGATGTATGTTTACTCAAATCTTTGGCATATCTGTGCAGTCTTCTTTAGCTGAGTAATCTGCACCCTTTGACCATGTTGCCAGCCTCTGTCCTAATAACTGTTTCTGTGGTATCATTTTGGAGGGTGGTAAAACTCTTTTGATCAGCACCCATCATTGGTGAAGCCTCTGAGCACTTGGCATGACAGTACATGGCACATGTAATGCACTGGGACCATCTTGGAAGCATTGCAGCCTTAGACCCTCTTCCCTGGTAGTATCAGCAGCTTGCTCTCTATTAACTGTGGGCATGACTTTCTTTTTGCTGGCTTAAGTTTTCCAGCCAGCGGCTCCTTTTGCCTCCTGCTGCTTTGCCCTTTGATGAGTAAAATATACTTTCTTACCTTTTAACCAAGTATCTGGGGTTCTCCTGTACAGTGTATTCTAACATAATTTCTTTAAAAAAATTTTTTTTATTATTAGTTGTTCAAAGCATTAACATAATTTCTGAACTAAGTAATGCATATAGGATCCAGAATCTAATACTGTCTTCCCAAAATAGCTTTTGTTTCCACAAAAAACTATTTTTTTTTGAGAATCTCCTGCTTTAAAATTTTCTTCTAGAATGAATTTCCATATTTTTTTCCCATAAATTTTTCAATGCCATCAGGTCTTGTGCAGAGTTTTCAAGTGCTGACATTGTTCTGGAAACAAGAGCAATTATGTCCACAAATATATACACATATATATAAAGCACATGCAAACTGTATATATAGTCAGCTATGTTAATAATTTATTTTTAAATCTACATAGAGAAAGTGTGTGTTTGTGGTAGGTAATTAAAACTATTGGTTTAAAACTATATAGGTTTGTAAGTTGAATTCTCTTATTTTAAAACATTAAAACTACAATCTAATTAACAATAGTAGAATTATGATTGTTATTGCAGTAAGCATTGGATTAGCAGTATATTAAAAGTAGGTAATAGGGGCTGTGTATATAGCTTAGTTGGTAGAATGCTTGCCTCACATGTACAAGGCCCTGGGTTCAATCCCCAGCACCAAAAAAAAAAAAGTAAGTAATAAAGCAGTTACTTAAAATGCCAATAAACTGAAAACTGTTACTCCTCATTTTAAGTATTTTAAACTTGTGATAATGGCAATGTTGATTTTTTTGAGTGTTCACTTTGACCTTTGGCTTATGGGGTAGACAGTTCGTCTGGTATGTAGGTAGCTATTAAGTGGGGAAAAAAAATACTGCTGTGAACATCACTGTTTAAGCAAACATTGTAGTATCATTTATTTGGACACTTAATTTCCTCCAAAGTTATCTAATATTGATGCTTGGACCATGGTTGCACGTTAGCTTTTCCATACTAAAAAATGACTTGCTAGTTATAGTGCATGTTCTTTGTCCCATAATGTGTATACAAAGACAAGAACTTAAAAAAAAAAATGCTGTAGCCAGATTTTTGTTTCATTTAAAGTAGCTAGTAATTTTAATGTTCCTTTAACCTGCTAAGAGGACATGGCATCTCTCTTTGACAGTGGTATTCAGTGAGCTTCAGAAAGCACCATAATTTCATAATCTATATACATTACATGAGACAAATAATTTGAGATTTATCATATTTAAAAAAATTTTTTTTTGTACCTGGGATTCAACTCAGGGGCGCCTAATCACTGAGCCACATCCCTAAGCCCCTTTGTATTTTTTATTTAGATACAGGGTCTCACTAAGTTGCTTAGGGCCTCACTAAGTTGCTGAGATTGGCTTTAAAACTGTGATCCAGGGCTGGGGATGTGGCTCAAGTGGTAGCACACTTGCCTGGCATGCGCGAGGCACTGGGTTTGATCCTCAACACCACATAAAAATAAAATAAAGATATTGTATCCACCTAAAACTAAAAGAGTAAATATATATATATATACCTGTGATCCTCCTGCCTCAGCCTCCTAAGTAAGCTGCTGGTATTACAGAAGTGTGCCACTCCGCCTGGCTAAAATTTTTGCTTTTAAGTTTGAGCTAAAGTCTGACCCCCATACAAGGAAATGTGTTATGTATGTTAAGCTTACATCAAGACATAATTTACTATTGAAATATGGGAGATGGCTTATTCAGAGGGATACTCTATTTACATGCCAAGGCTTAAGCTGTGTGTCATGTCTCTTTTATGTCCTATTTTAAGATCTCTTTCTTATCTCCCTGAGAAGTTAACCTTATACTTGAGGCAGTCGCTTTTTTGGAGAATTCACCAAAGTTTCTAGGAAAACATGTTCAAAGTATAACTGAAGAATAAATTGACTTACAGTGGAGAAATATTGATTTGAACTGTTTTTTTCTTTCTTTCCAAACTAAATTACAGATTCTTATCTATAAAGTTCAGGTTGCTTAGAAACTGTTTTCCAGTATTCTGCAGGTCCAGTCCGTTGTGCAGAAGTTGAAATATTCTGTTATCAGAATTTTAAAAGAAGCTTTTAGATTATGAAATATGATAATAAAGGTATATTTCTGACTAAACAAGAAAAAAAGAAGAAAAAAAATGCTCTGGTAACAGAAGTTGGAATTACAGTTTGGGCGCTGCAGAGAGAGTTTATGAGAGCCTCTGAGGCCTGTAGTAGGGGATAGTAAGGTAGACATGTTGGAGATACATTCAGAGGATTAATTTATAGGACTCAGTGCCCATTTGTTTACTCATATAGGATGAGAATATCTAAACAGTGCCCTTTGATTGGTCTTAGTATTTTAATTTTTCACCTCTTAAACTTATGTCCTTTGACTCATTGTCTGCTTTTCAAATTTTAGTTTGCCTTAAATTAGCTAATTCTATAATCCAAAGTGAAATTTAATAAATTTCAGCCTCCACAACATTAACTTTAGCTTTTTTTTTTTTTTTCACAATTCAATTTGAGCTGTCCAGGTCATAGAGGATGCTACTTCATTTAAAGGCAAGTTAATCTCCAAAACTGATTTAGAGATAGTGTTTAACTTTTTAAACTTAGTTGTCTAAATATCTTTGAATTTAGAAACCAAGGGTTATTTGTATAAACAACTAGTTTTTCAAATATTTATAACATTTTCTAAGGACATTTTCAAAAATGAAGAATAGTTCTGCATAAAATTATTAGATATATTTTGATGTGCAGAGTTTCTTCTGTTTTTTTGTAACTTAGAAAAATCTAAAAATTCTTCAAATTAAATAGTAACTTATTTTTTATCAGTCTCAATCTTTCTGAAGTCTGCCTGTCCTTCTAGAAATGAACAATTTTCCCACGTCCTGAAGCTCACCCATTAAGGGCTTAGAAGAGAATGTCTTCTTTCTAAAAGCCAAGAATATAAACCACTAAGAGTTCTGTCTGATACTCAGATTATATCTGCTTATTCTTTGGAAGTCTGTAATGCTTATGCTATTTATACATGCAAAAGTCTGGTGAAGATTGTTTTGACAAAGGCCTTATATACAATAGGATATGTTGCTTCAATTATAAAATATTGTTGGATTTCATTTAATGGGTATCTGCTTCATGCCATGCAGTATATTCACCATGAAGGGTATAATGTAATCTCTACCTTAATGGGCTCTATAGTCTAGTGGAAAAGAGGGACATGTCAATGAATATTTAGTGACTAGCTTGCAACTATCGGAGATATGGAGTGTGATGCTCTGTGAAATCTACTCTATTTTATAATGGTCTCTTCCAGAGCTTGGTATTATTTGGAATTCAGACATCTCTGTGTTTCCAGAGTATTATTACTAGTAGTTTGCTAACAGAGAGTTGAATTTAATCAGGGTTGGAATTTTCCATATAATATAACAAAAGGGAAAGATAGAAAGAGACAAGGAATTTGAAAGTGTATGCAAAGGAGTATTTGGCAGGAGGGGGTAGTATCAGGGATTGAACTCAGAGGCGCTCAACCACTGAGCCACATCTCCAGCCCTATTTTGTATTTTATTTAGAGACAGGGTCTCATGGAGTTGCTAGTGCTTCACTTTTGCTGAGGCTAGCTTTGAGTTCTTGATCCCAATGGAGTATTTTTAATGATGGAACAGGGAATGTACACCAGGTCAAGAGGAAAGTAAGGACATAAAGTAAAGTAATGGACAATGGGTAGAGTTCTACTGAAATAAAAGGTATATTTCTGACTAAACAAGAAAAAAAAGAAGAAAAAAATGAGAATTGTTGGATTTAGAGTACAAAATGATTGCAGGAACTCTTACTTACCTAAGGATTCCCAAGCCTGACATAAATCTTGATCAAATATAATGAGTGTGAACAGATTTTTTTTAGGGCATGGAAAAGTGTTGCCAATCTATAATCCCAACTACTTGGGAGGCTGAGGCAGGAGGATCACAATTTGAAACCAGTCAGAGCAATTTAGCTTGTCCTCAGCTCAAATAAAAGTTTAAAACTTGGGTTGGGGATATAGCTCAGTATTTGTCTAGCATATGTGAGACCTAGGGTTCAATTCCCAGTACCACAAAATTAATAAATCAATATATCAATCAATAAGTAAATTTTCTTCAGAGAGACAGGGCCAAGGTAAAGCAGAAATTTTGACCCATAAAGGAGAGAACTGGTATTTCAATAAACATGGTTATTGTAAGGACTGGTAATATGTCATATATATTTAATAACAGAGATAGTTCAAGTCATAAAGTATTCCCTGTTTAGTCCAGTTAGTACTGTTCTTGTCTTTCCTAGTTATTACTTAATTGTATTTTTATCAGGCTTTTTTTAAAAATCATTTTATCGTTTTCATAACATGCCAGTTTTTATTTAATAGCTTCATAACCTCTCTCTGAGATTCCTATAAACAGGGTCAAGGGTTTCTAGAGCATAAAAGCTAAAGGACCCAGACAAGCAGATACATTAACTTCCTTTCAGAAGAGAGATTACAAGAGAGGAAGAATGGTTACTGTTTAGTTCACTAATACACCCTGGCATATCAGAATTCAGCTATCCTTATTGAACTGGATTAACTTTAGGGAGAACCAGAGAATGCACCTGTTATATATATCTGTTTGTAATGTAATATTTGTTGAATTAAAATCAACAAAGATTTGTTGGAAATAAAACTGTGGAGATGTCATTAGTGTTTCATATCCTCATATTATGGCTCCAAAGGTATCTTCTGTTGTGGCACTGGAGAATTTAGAGCCTATGTCTGCATTGCTCTTTCTCTTTTCTATAGCAAGAATTGAGTGGTATTAGTGTCATTCACTGGGACTTTGATATGGTTTTATTATACACAATTCTTTTTTAATGATATCAGGTCACAGCGTGACTCTTGACAAAGCTTCCTTTTCTATTTCAGTTATAAGGTTTATTTCAATAGAATAAGTCAATTCTACATAAAATCGGCATACTACAGTGAACAGCTACATCAATGTTTATAGCAGCTCAATTCACAATAGCTAAACTAGGGAACCAACCTAGGTGCCCTTCAACAAATGAATGGATAAAGAAACTGTGGTATCACATGGAATATTATTTACCCTCAAAGAAGAATGAAATTATGACATTTGTCATTAAATGGATGGAACTGGAGAATATTACCCTAAGCAAAATAAGCCAATCCCAAAGAACCAAAAGCTGGATGTTTTATCTGATATACAGATGCTAATTCACAATAAGGAGACAGAGAATTGTGGTATTTTGGATGCAACAGGTGAGTGTAAAGAGGAGAGGAGGCATAGGTGTAGGAATGATAGAATGAATCAGACATTACATGAACTCCGTCATATACAACCAGATGAAAGAGAAGTTATACTCCATTTGTGTATGATGTGTCAAAATACATTCTACTGTCATGTACAACTAATTAGAACAAATTAAAAAAAAAAAATACCTCACACCAAAACAAGTATAAGTCAGTTCTAAAAGTATAGATTTTATCCCTTTCTGAAGTTGTGTTAATAATAAATATGTCTGTGATATAGCCTCTACTTATCATGAAATTCTAGTTTTATTGTCTGCATTAGCAATATTTTCATAATTTTTTTCCACAAATCTTATTTTGTGTTTTTTACTTAAAGGAAAGAACGCTTGGTGTACGTGGGTATCAGTATTGAAAACATCATTCCTCCACAAGTAAGTTTCTTGCTTACAGTATTTTCAAAGAAGATATGCGCTTAATTGTTCTAAAATTTAACTCATTTTTGTAATGGGGCTAGTTTTAAATATATAATATATATATTATATATATAAATATATATGTTGTTAAAAATTAAATTTAAAACACTAAATAAATTAACTATGATCGTGATTGAAATAAAAATATGTGCAGATAACCCAAAAATGTGATTTATTAAAGCTAAATTGGAAGTTCATTGCTTGGGGTTTTATGTTCCATTGTTTTTACCCAAATCAGATAATTTTTGTATATGTTTTCATGTTATTTATGTAATGTACTGAAGAATAGTTCGAGGTGATTGGGTTTTTAATTTCCTGCTTTTTAGCATTATTGAACACTTTAATTTATATTGATGCAATTTGGTTTCTTTGAAGGTTTATCACTTTGTATTTAATAATGTATAATGAAGAAGAGTATCTCTTGTTGAGTAGATGGAACATGGTTTCTCTTTTGAAATGAAGAGCCTTTACTCATTTGATAAGCAGTTTCATTCAGACTTAATTAATTAAATCACAGACTGTGAAGTTATTTTCTTTCAGCATCACCCCTTTCTTTTAAATCAATTACTTTACTCATTCAGCATACATACCTATTAGGTGTTTTCTGTGTGTCAAATTTAATTGGTTAAAAGACTGTACCAGTGGAAAAACTTCATCCTGATAGTTTTAAAACAGGCAATTACAAACTCAAAATAAGTAGAAGAATTTTCATACAGAAGATTTTCATCCTTTCACCACTAGTATTCCTTTTTATGCCTGTACAATTAATGTTGCTGTTTATATTCATTTTGGGCAGGATAATGTCAAATTTTTTTCAGACCTTTCACATGTGTCACCTAGATATTGATTACAACACTGCTAATCCCAAGGAATTTTGTTTTGTTTTACCTGTATTTTTATATTTTGAAAGGAGCCAGATTTTTCTGAAGATCAAGAAGAAAAGAAAAAAGATTCAAAAAAATCAAAAGCAAACTTGCTTGAAAGGAGGTCAACAAGAACACGGAAGTGTATAAGTTACAGGTATGCAATATATGGAATTGGTTGTAGGAAAAGGGCATAAAATGTTTTTATAATTATATTGGTAATTATAATAATAACATGACCCAGAAGCATATGCTTTCTTTATCACAATGATTATTAGCAAATGTATATGTGCTGGGTATTGATTTCAGGAACCCTGGGCTAACGATGTAGCTCAGTATAGCGGTTGCCTAGCATGTGTGAATTTCTGTTTCATTTCAAGCACCATAATAAAAGAAGAAATTTTCCAGGACCCTCTAAAGATACCTTAACCCACAGATCCTTAGTCTCATGTGTTAAAATATAGTATTTGTATGTAACCTGTGTACATCTTCCCATATATGTTAAATCATCTCTAGAGTGCTTATACAAGCAGGCATGGTAGCATACACTTGTAGTCCCAGCTACTGGGGAGGCTGAGGTGGGAGAATCACATGAGCCCAAGATTTAGGACCAGGCTGGGCAATGTTAGAGATCCCATCTCATAAAACAATCAAAAACCCAAATACTGAATACAAGTTAAATGCTATATAAGTTATTGTTTTACTGTATCCTTTAGGGAATGATTATAGGGGAAAGAGTCCATATATTTCAATATAGGCACAATTTTTTTATCCAGATAATTTTGATCTCTGACTGGTAGAAACTACAGGAGCTGGACCTGTGGAGACTGAAGGCCATGTATTTATTTCTTACCTCCCATCTTTTTTTTTTT